TTAAATTATTTTTTAATAAAAATTTATTTAATATATTTTTGTATATCTAATATATTAATAAATACTTTTTTAAAAAATGTTGTTTTTACATACTGAAACTTAAATATAAAAACTGAAATTAAAAATATTTAACCAACTAACAGTATCCTAAATTCCTAAGAGTGACACAAAAAATATTTAAATAAATAAAATAATAATATTTAAACTGAATAAATTTGTTTCGTTAAATTTTTTTTAGAAAAATCGAACATTAGCGAATAATTGTTAACAAATAAGTAAATTAAATTAAGACCCTCGATTTAAGAATAAGTTAAATCTTTTCAAACCCATCCAACTTAACATTTTTTAAGACCACTTAAGAACACTAATTTGAATTTATATTTTTGTGACTAAATAACAATAATATTTTTTAAAAAATCTGTATGATATTATAAATGATGTATATATTTATAATAATTGTAATAAAAATATATAACTTAATATATTAACATTGCTAAATATTAGACTTATTTTATCTTTAAAAAATAATCGTTTAAAACTTTGATAAAAAATAAAATATATTTAATTATCTTGTTTTTATTAAAAATATTGTAATTTTTATAATATTTATTTTAAAATTTATTTATGTAACAAATGAACAGAAAATATGTTTTAAAATAATAATAATTTTAAAGAATAACATTTAGAAAAAGTCTGAAAAAATAAAATAATAATTAAAGCATAGATAAATTAAAAAATTGAGGGAATAATATTTAATAAAAATAGGTTGGAGAAACATATAATAATAATAATAAACATAAGGAAAAATATTGAATGAATGGGCGAGGCGACAGGCGCGGAGAGTACCTTAGCAGTTGAAATGCACGCAAAGCGTGGAATCCAAGATTCCATCCATGTCATGCGGCTCACACTCACACCTACTGGCGCCGCATTTCAAGAGTTTGTCTCGTGCCCACGTGCCACTCCCATGTTCTATTGCTTCAATCCTACGCCGTAAACCGCGTCTTTCATACCCCAAACCACGGTCAACGCAAATTTTAACCATGGTTAAAGATGCGGCAAGGCAAGTTCATTGTGAATACCCTTCACCCTTGGTTTGGTTAGTTGGTTTTTGGGTAATCAGTGAATGAGTGAAGTGACCCTTTTATAGTGGCCCCGCCCGTTTCTATCTGCCAGGTCGTCAACAATTATTAGCCACCTCCACTCCGCTAACACTCACTATCCCTTCTACGCAACCGTGACATCATCGTCTCGTAATAGTTCCATCTTGTCAACCAACGCCTCTGATTTCATCCCCTCCTGCCGGCTTTTTATAAAAAATTATTCTTTTTAAAACAAATTCTTAAAATAATATATTTACATAATTATTTTTATTTTATTTTCATTTTTCAGGGTTAGTGAAAAGTATCACCCCATGCAAGTATCAATACAGATCCTCTGCAATTTAAGCAAAAATTATAATCTACAATTTAACTTTATTTAAGAGAAAAAAATTTATTTTTGTTTAAGTTAAAAACATTTGCATAAATAAATTAATAAAAAAGTGATTTTTGTTTAAATAAAAAATTTCTTAAGTTAAAATTATAAAAAAATTTAAAACTTTATCTTTTTACTCACTAAACTATAGAAAATTTAAAAAAATTTGTACAAAATTATGTGATCAACTATTTTTCAAAGTCATCATTCTTATAATTTAATCATTATTTTTAATAATTTAACTCAATTTTAAATGATTCTACCTCATTAATGCTTAATACAAGTAGCACACTAGATAATATATTTAGAATATTTAATGAGACAATATATGTAAGAATTTTTGGTAACTAGGTAGTCATTGAAAAAAAATAAAGGTTCTTAAAAAATTCTATAGTTCAAAGAGGAAGGAGATGAAGTTTTAAATTTTTCTGCCTTAAGCGAATTTTTTTAACTTAAATAAAAATCATTTTTTGTCAAATTCGGCTAAGCAAAATAAAATTCACTTAATGAATTTACACTGTAAGTTGCAGTTTCTGCAAAAACTGCAGATGACCTGGATCTACAGTTTCCACAAAAACTGCAGAAGATCTGTATCTGCAATTTCCACAAAAACTGCAGGGGATCCGGATTTTCAATTTCCATCAAAATTACAGAAGATATGAGTTTGCAATTTCCATTAAAACTGCAGAGGATCTGGATCCTGCAAGTATAATATTAATTCCAAAAAAAAATCTTACCTACTATTGAAATAAGGCTTTGTTTGTGAATAACAAGTGTAAAAAAAATAATAAGTTTTGCCTAACAAATGAAATTTTGAGAAATAATTGCATCATTTGACATAATTGGAGTGTGTTTTGCCTCAGCCAGGATAAGACAAAATTTGTTGATTTGAGTTATCTCTCATTCTAATATAAACTTGATATTTAATTTCATTTTTTGTTTAAGTGAATTTATGTACTGCACGTCAAGATTTTGTAAAATTCATTTAAACACTTTTAACTTATTTCCTTCTTTGTCATGAAATTTTTTCTTTACTTTCATGTATGTCAATGTTGCCTTAAAGGAAGGTAGAAATGAAATGGATTCACATTTTGTTTCTAAAAAAATTTGTAAGCCTAAATTAATGAAAATAACAAAAAAAAAAATCTAATAAATCAATGCATAAAAAATGACCTTAACAAAATTGTATTTGAAAGAAGGGTTAAAGAAAGATAATTTTACATAAGGGTGTTACTTATCATGCTGAGTACTTAAAAGCAAATTAAAACTTACTTTTATAAACTTTGTTCCTTCTCTTTCCTCTAAACACATGTATTTCCTTCGTTAATATTAACATCAACCCAAACAAAACAACATACCTGCATGGTTGACGTTTGTAGTTGAACATCCACAATTGTAGCTAAATACATTAAGGGATGACATGCAAATTAAGAAAGTAAAGAAAAGTTTTACCGCAAAGAAAGAAAAAATGTTAAAAGCATTTAAGCAAATAAAGTTTACTTAATACAAAAAAACTTGATGTGCAGTGTAAGAATTTGCTCAAATGAATGCAAATTCGTTTAAGTGAAAATGAAATTGAACATCCAATTTGTACCAGAATAAGAGAGAATTTGATGCCTCCTTGCAGAGGCAAAACACACTCAAATTGTGACATATGAGAGAAACATCAATAGTCATCCTCTTTCTTCTTCTCCTCTCCTTTTATCTTTTCTCATTTTTTGTCTCTTTCCTCTTTTTCCTTTTTTTCTCCCCTTTTCACTCTTTAGTAATTTTATTAATTAAATTTTATGATAAAGGAAAGGGTGAAAAAGTAGAAAAGCCAGGAGAATTAGAAAGATAAAAAAAAGATGAGTGAAGGGAGATAGAAGAAAAAGAAAGTAATGATGATTCTTTATATTTTTGCCACATGTCATTATCTTAGCATATTAGGCCTTTACATATGACAATATTAGTCTCATCCTTACAAATATAAAATATGCTTAAATTGTGTCACTTAACACACTTATTTTTTGATTGTCATATTTAAATTTTAATATTTGTAAATTTTGCCTCTTATATAAGTGAAGCTTACTGATCTTCTAATCATCTCAAGCACATATAGAGTATCATTTTTGGAATAAATGTGACAATTTTAATTTTAACAAGTATTACACTTGCACTATTTTAATTTTAACAGAGTATCACTCACATGTTACTATGTATTTTTCTTTTTAATAAACATAGAAATGTAGATGTATAATTGGTCAAGACTAACCTAGTGCTACATTATACAAAAAAATTTTCCCTCGTGCCCACCTCAATCTTAGGGTTTTAATGTTATTCATTGCAAATTAAAACCACAACCAACTGCATTTTTAGTACATATACAATATTTTTACATGCTTAATCAATGATCATTTACTGATTCTATGACTTATTTTTCCGTAATCACGTTTAAAATCTTATATTTTTAAACATTAATTATTTTTACTGTCGTCTAATACATCACTTAATTTTTAAAATAATTCACTATACTTTTTAATATATTTTTTATATTAAACTAGTTAACGCGATTAAAAAATATCTATACGTGTGTTACATAGTTTGAAATTGGAAGAATTTTTTAAAATGTGATAGTGGAAGATAGCGTGCATGTTTACAGGGTTGGCCCTCCATCATTCATTTTTCTGTTTGGGCTCAAAGAGCAGTACTATGACCTAATTCTCTCAGTAACTACTACAAGAGGGAACTTTCCAGTCTGATATAACGTTAAAAAACAATTGAAAGTAAAAAAAACAAAAACAGTAGGCAGTGTTTGAGTGCACAAGCTGGTTCAATTATTAATTAAACAACCCAACACAAACCGATACATATATCAAATTAATCTGAGCATTCATTATTTGGCCATAAACAAAAGAGAAAACGGCTGCCCACTTCTCTATTGGGACACTGACGCCCTCCTCATAAGATTATATTATCTTCCTCTCATTAACATCAGATTAATTATTTCAATACTCACTCAAAGAATGAATTATTCATTTGTTTTTTTCACTTGTGGACTCAGAGAGAGTTTCATAATATACTAAGATGCAGAAGTTCAAACTTCCAAGCTAATTAAATTAAACTGAAGAATGGAAGCGTACAATGGAGGCAATAGAAAAAAGTGGAGGAGCCGGATGCATTAGAAATTTAGAATTCAAAACTAGGAGGATAAGTAGTTGGTCTGAACGCGCACTAAATACGGTCAACATCCTTAACGACAAACTAAAGAAAATGACAACGTTATAAACACCGACACCTGCCAGTTCTGAGCGGGCACGTGTCCATTACAACATTGTCAGGGACAGATGTCTTTGTTTTATTGGTCTGTACCTTAATCAATTGGTGAGTGTCTTCCGTCATGGCCAGCATTTAGCTGAAACTAACCCGTGGTTATGACAGCGATAATTAGGGGATTAATTGTGTGGTTAACAGTAGTAATCAAGGTGACAAGGTGCTATATAAGGGAGAGAGAGTCCCAAAGGCAAAAGCAAGAGTGGCGAGAGGTACTCACAAACAGCTATTTTATTCCATTTTCTTGAGAGCTTTCAGATTGTGTGGTTGATCCTTGTTCTCATCTTCTTCTCCTTATCCTCCCCCATTCTGTAACACCCCGCTTCTCTGAATCCCTTTCTGTTAATCATCTGTCTTTCAAGCTAAGATTTTTGGGTCTGTCTTTTAACTCATCCAGAAGAATTTCTCGAAAGCCAGGTGTTTTCAGAAACGAGATCCAGGTTTTACGCATCATTCTCGTAATCTGCTTCTAAAATTTTTAATTTTTTCCTCATCTTGTTCTCAACTTTGAAATCAGCCAAGAGGGTTATTTTTGATCCCTCAAAGCATTTCTCTTTTTTAAAATCCCGGGATTGAAGAGGTTGTCTATTAGAAATCTCTATCATCCTTGCTTTGTTGTAGAAAAGATTTTTATTTTGGGTTTAATTTTTGAGTCTTAATTAATTAACCATAAAACCTGTTCTTCAGTTTTAGAAAGACGCAGGTACAATTATGGCAGCTATGATGGATTTTTACACCAGCGCACAATTTCACTCAGATCCCTTCAGGGGTGAACTAATGGAAGTTCTTGAACCTTTTATAAAAAGTCCTTCCTCAACCCCCTCTCCTTCTTCTTCTCCTTCTACAAACTCATATCTACCTTCTACTTCTTTCTTCCCCTCTTCTCCTTCTCTCCCTAGTTTCTACACAGATGGTTGCTCAACATCGATGGCCCATGTATTTGCAGAAGGGTTATCAAACAGCCAAAACCTAATAGGCTTCGAGCAACCAAGCTCTGTGCTTGGCCTCAACCACCTAACCCCATCTCAGATCGCACAGATCCAGGCTCAATTCCAGTTTCAGAATATATCATGGCAGCAACAGCAGAATCACAACACCCTAAGCTTCCTCAGTCCAAAGCCAATCCCAATGAAGCACGTGGGCATGCCTCCAAAACCCACAAAGCTTTACAGAGGGGTTAGGCAAAGACACTGGGGAAAATGGGTCGCTGAGATCAGACTCCCAAAGAACCGCACAAGGCTCTGGCTGGGAACCTTTGACACTGCCGAAGAAGCTGCTCTGGCTTACGACAAAGCCGCTTACAAGCTCCGAGGTGACTTTGCTAGGCTCAACTTCCCCAACCTCCGACACCAAGGATCCTCTGTCGGTGGAGACTTCGGGGAGTACAAGCCTCTTCATTCCTCTGTTGATGCCAAGCTTCAAGCCATTTGCGAAGGCTTGGCTGAGTTGCAGAAACAGGGGAAGTCAGAGAAGCCTTCGGGCTCTTCCAAAAGGTCGCGATCGAAGCTTCCTCCGCCTGAGAATGTTGATTCGAACAAGGGTTTGGAGAAAACCTGTTGTAAGGTTGAAGCTTCCTTGTCTCCGGTTGCGACCGAGAGCGAGGGCTCTGAAGGTTCTTCTCCCCTTTCGGATCTTACTTTTGCTGATGTGAGTGAACCACAGTGGGAAGGTGATTCGGATAATTTTAATCTCCATAAGTACCCCTCTTATGAGATCGACTGGGATTCTCTGTGAAGCCGTGTTTGGTAGTTCTATATGGTTTGTAGCATGTTTTCCTAGTAAAGGGTCTCTCATGCGTCGTCTAGTTTAGTAGTATAGTATATTTGTAGGTCTTAGTGTCTAGTGTCTTAGGTGGCCACTGCAATGGAATTTTTGACAATTGCAGGGCTACATATAAATATTCTGTTAATATCTTGTATAATCTCTCTCTACCTTGGGTCAGAGCTGGTTTTTTTCTTGCTTGCCCGGGGAGAATTACTCCAGTTATGTTTCAAGTCTTCATGTAATCTACTTGCATTTCATATTATGAAATATGGATTTTGTACTAGTTTGGTTCTAGTTATATTCTTGATGTATAAACGCTTATTTAAATGCATGTCTGGTAGTTGTTTCACCACTTTTGCCTTTACTACGTTTCAATGAGACTGCCGTCACAAATTATAGCCAGATTAAACGTTTGAATTTCTAAATATATGTTGATGCCAGCCACTGAAGATCTCCGTTAGCCCCCAATTCCCTTCATATGCGTATCGAACAAACAGGTCATAATTAAACTATTGAAAGGAGTAAGCACAAGTGATTCAAATCCGGGTTGTAATAGCAATAATAGTGCTCTCGTATGATATCTTCTCCGAGAGTAAACACTGGAAAACAATCTAAAATTTTCCTACAGGAGGGTGATTCCCACGTTAACACCTTTATTAAGAAAAAAAATATTTACATTTAACGGGGTAGCCTGGTAGCAGTAGCAGGTTTGCTCTTGATTTTGGCATTCCCAGTTCTTAATGTCGTTCACACGTTAAACTGGCTATGAATGCATTCTTAAACATGTGACATTCAATCAGACAGCGTCGGTGACCACTGTGTAGGATATTAATTTTTTTTTTAACAACGTTTTGAACACTGAATAGCAATGCGGAAATATAATTTCTCTTCGTTTGAAACCTTAAAAAAAAGGAAGTTGGCAAAGGTTTCAACGAAAAATTCGAAGCACAATAATATTCTAGCTTGGAGTCGGGAATCCAATGAAGTGCTGTAAAACTCTTTTTCGAGTTGTTGAATTCATTGAATTGGGCTATAGCAAAGAAACACCTTCCAGTGCTCAAGAACCATTATATTCAATTTTTTATTTTCAAGCCTTTCGCTGTTTCGCACCTTTCCCCTCCCCCGATAACCGAAATTTATCATTCTTTTTCTAAATTTCTCTCTTTAGTGTTATAGAATATTTTTTTCATGTCCTTTAATGCGAGTCATTCATTTTTTTTAAAAAAAATTGCTGTTCATTTAAATACCTACTTGTATTACTCATTTTCCCTCATGTTTACACCAGCGATGTGAAATAAAATAGCTACTTTCTCTTTGAAAATGTCAAACACGAGGGAAAACACTGTTTAAGCACACAAAGGATTACTTTTATTAAAAAAATGAGGGTTTCCTCTCACTCCGCGTCAAATATCTTATCTTCCCACTCTCATAAATGTGTGGTGAGTTAATCCGAAGTAGCTTTTATTTAAAATGAAGGAAGGCGATTGCACAATGGAATCCATAGATAAGAAGATAGCGTTATACGAGAGAGTTAGCGAGGATAATATGTCATTCACAAAAAAAGGGGGAAAAGGAGCACACTTGCAATTTGCTTATCTTTCATTTTTTTAAAAATTAGTTTTGGCACATAGTGTGTGCTTTTATCGACGTGACGTCCAATTGTCGATGCAGTCAGCAGGCCCATCATTAAATACTGGATAGAGCATCCAAATTGATCACTCTGCCAACAAAAAGATAATTCTATCTTCGCTAAGAAATAAACTTATAATATAGAACTGAAGATAGAACTCTCCACACACACACGCATAAAATTTAGTTTCATTTTCATTTCTTTTTAAATTAGAAAAGCGTATAATTAATTGTGACTTTATTTATAATATAAAAATAATTTACAATTTTTTTCCCATTAGCATGATCCGGTATAAGGGGGAATTAGATTCTTTTTTAGTGGCACCTTACAAATTTAAATAGTGGACTCTAATCTAAAACTTTTCTTCAGAAGCAGCAGAAGATTAGAGTATGTTTAATTTTAAAATTTTTTTTTTCTGTTTTTAAAAATGGAAATTAACATACTTTTACAATTTACTTTTGTAGATTTTTCATTTTTTATATTTTCGTTATTTTTTTCAAATGACATAAATCTTCCTTTAAAAACGATGTTCAAGCAAAATGACCGTCGCTACTTTAATGGATAAATGTTATCACCTCTGAGAGAGTTAATAACTAAGTATTACTCGAATAAATATTCTGAAAGAAACGTGTGTATACAAGCTAATCAAGTTGACAAAGAATGAGAACAACAACTGAAAAATAACTATGATAACTAACTACCATGATAGAATTTAATAAATTATTTCATATGACAATATAATGTGATTAAAAACTACATATATGAGATAAATTGTGTTTTTTTTTCTTTGTTAAAGATAAATCATGTATTTAAAATATAACAAACTAATATGTTTTGTGTGTGTGTTTTGAACTTAAATTTCAAGGATGAAATTCACCGACAATAATTTATTTTTATAATAATTAATTTTAAAATTATATTTATCATATATTTTTATTATTCGACAGTATACAATCTTTTTGTATTAACAATGTATCTAAATTTGTTAATATTAACCATGTATCTAATTTATTTAAAATATATTAATAATTACTATCTTTATATTTATCTAATCATAAATTATTATATTAATAAATCTTATTGATTTAAGTGACAAACAATTTAGTATGCTAAATAAAAAATATTATTAATTTTACAACAATTAATTATATTTATGACGTATTTTAATTAAATGACAACGGGTACATTAGATTAAAATTATTTTTAAAAAACAAACAAAATATGTAACCATTACCAAATAAAATAATATATCAATACTAAATCAACACACCTTTTCGGTGGACAAAGAGTTCACACAGACTTTGAATCATTGTTTGTTTGTAGAAAATTATCATAGTAATTAAACTTACTTTTATATATATCTTACGAGTTCCAAATGGGGGCAGAGCTAAGCACACAAAATAGTTACCAATCCAACTCATGACATTAGAATAATGAATATTGATTCAATTATTGATAAGAATTATAAATAAGAAATTACATGGACAGATCTAGGTTTTGGGCTTGACCCGAGTTTTTATTAGGCTGTGCCTCGTTTTGCCGAAACTTTAATATCAGTGGACAATTTCTTTTTTAACTTTTTTCCAGCGCATTATTTTTTGTTACTAAAAAATTAATTTAAAAGTGTATAAAATACTCTATAGAATTTCAATTATAAAAATGGCTGACAAATGCTGAATGCATCTTGGATTTGAAATTCTAAAAACAGTAAGAAAAAGTTGAAAGAGAAAAAAGTTTGATTAAAAAAACTTTTAATTTGGTAAAACTTAAAAAATATGAACCTGTCTTTTTTTATAAAACTTTTATTTATCATTTAAAAATTTTCAAACAAGTATTATCATGAATTATGTCTTTTCATTCTTTTTAAAAAATAAACTCTCAATAAGCCTTCACGGTACAAGTTATCACACGATGATATCAATTTTTAAATTTAAAAAAATAGAAAATAAATTTGACATTTAACGAGTTTTAAAATTATGGTGGTGCAAATACTAAATTGAGTTTGAACAAGTCTTCATTTTTTGGTCTGAGCTTTATAAAATTCTTATTTTAGGATTTTGTTTGAAATTGTTATTTTTTAAATTTTAAATAAAAATTTCAAAATAAAGCGAGTTATACAATCATTTCTCGTTATTATTAATGATCAATTAAACATATATTTATTTATATTCGATCGCGATGTAATTTTTTTAGTCTTTCTTATTCATATAAGTTTAATGTCTTTCACCGCCTTATTCAAAAAATATAAATGTAAAATATATATTATTAAAAATAATAACAAATATTGTGAGGTTGATGTATGAACTTCTTCTTTTTATATGTCACATATTTTTTATTAAAATAATTTTGTTTAAATTAAGTAATATCATTATAAATAATTTTTTATAAATATTTATTATAATTGTATTTTCTAAAATTTAAGTTTAAGACCATATGCTAGAGTAAAACAATACTTGTTGCTAGTTAATCAATGTGCTCATTAACTTTCTATTTTATGCTTCATGATATTGTAGGATCTTATTATAAATAACAAATAAAATGTCTTGTAAAATAAATTATTCTCTCTATTAATCTATTGTGTATTTGAAAACTAATATTATTTTAATTTTAATTTTTTCACAAATGAAATTAAATTTTATTTGTATATGCTAGGTTTGCCTAATTTGTTTAATTATTTAAATAAAGATTCCATGAGAATAGATTCATGAATAACAAAACGGCAATAAGAAAATTAATTACTTATAAAATTCAACGTGTTTATAGTTCTTCAAAATATATTGTATTTCAGTTTATTTAATATGTGTTTTTTCACTTTTGTATCTCAGTATTTAATTTTTTTATTTTTAATTCTTCTCACCTATGTGCCTCAACCAAAAAAAAAAAAAAAGTGGCACATCATAAAATTTATCACGCGACAATATTTTGAGTTAGTTGCATCAATATTTAATGACAATTAAAGATTAAAATTAATAACATTTAAAAAAGTAAAAAATAAAACTAAAAAAAACAATTTTATGGGAAAAATTATCAAAATGTAATACTTTAAAGAAACACACACACACATATATATATATATATATATATATATATCTTTTTATGTCTAAATTTTTTTTTCGAACTCTAACTTATTAGGATACATTATGAATAACAATAATAATAAAATAAATAAATAAATATTGTATAGTATATCTAGGTAAAGCACAAATTATTTACTACTAATCACATATATTATTAGGATTGATTTTTCCTTTACAATTAGATGATTTTTTTATCGTAATTTTTAATAAAATAAAAATAAAATCTTAATTTTATTTTAGGGTAAAAAACCTTAGGAATTATTACCTTAGTTGTGTTTTTTTTACCATAATATATTAAAGTAAGTTTATTGCACCCATATTTGATATATTTATTAAACTTTTTTTTTTATCTAATTGGACATTAACTTTAGCATTATATATATATTGTTAAGCATCAATGTAAAATAGAATATAAGATATACTTTAATTCATTATATCTTTAAAGAGAGTTAATAATACATGTAAAAAATTATTATTTCAATTTAATTTCTCAAAAGTTTTATTACGAGTTACTTTTAAGAATAATAATTAATAATTAAATATTTTTCTGACATTTAACATACCGTTATATAAAACTCAATTTATGAATTTTATTTTTTATTTTGGTCAATAGAGGTTGTCCTATCCTTGATATAGTACATTAGAAAGCAAGGTGCACTCCTACCTGCACAAGCCCAACTCTGTGCTAGACTGGGCCAAATTCAACATACCTCGTATTGGAGTGTAAAGTCATGGATACTGTATTGAGCTCTTCTTTTTTGTCAAATAAAGAGTATTGAGATTGTGGACCAATAAATAAATAAAGAAAATGGGGCTTTCATTGTGGAAAAGTAAGCTAACACAGTTTCATGTCATCAAGCCCAAAGGTTTTTTTCTTGGACTCTGTAATTGATGGGTTGACTCTTCATATACCATTTTTTATGTTTTTCTACGTACGAAAAAAGTGCTTCGATGTATTTTTTCAGTTGCTCTTTTATTCTATAGGCAGCTTTTGTCTACTGTGGACTGAGTATTGGGATTTGGGCCTCTGTTTGTTAGTCTTAATTGGACAGAATTCTAATTGTTTAGGCTCCACATTTTCAGAACTTAATAAAAAAGAACCCGGCTCGACCCAAAAAAAGAAAAGAAGAGAACTAGCATGTTCCACGACTAAAGATAAGAAAAAATAAAAGCATAGTTAGGGTAGCAAGAAAAACTAAGCATCGATCCATAACCAAATGCAAAAAAGAAGAAAAGAAAAAAAAAGGATCGGAATATTTTGTGTTTTGTGCAATATTGGGTCGGGTTTATTCATTTAGAATAAATGGATTGCTCTTAAATGTGATTACTTTCTTGTTTGTTTGTTTTTCCATTAAAAAGTGCAAGCAGGTGTGGTGTAGGAGAGAAATAATTGGCCTATATTAGAAAATCAAACCTTTAACATCATCGTCCCACTCAATTTTAAACCGATAGTAGATGAATTACAAATTGGTTGACAGATGATGCCATTATCTAATTTCCATCTACATGTAAATGCATTATTGGGATTCATTTTTACTAATTTGTCTGTTGTCTCTTTTTTTAAGGAAACACCTGTTAGTACGAAAACAAATTATATTAATATATACCAAAAACAATTACCAGTATTTTGTTAAATTTTTTAAAAACTTTTGACCTCACCTGCGTATGGTCATGCAACCGAATCTAATGTGACATAAAAATCGTCAATTGTCGTATGATAGAATTCGTATTAAATAGAAAAAGTCTAATTTTTTTAATCCGAAGAATTTGGACAGAGGATAACACAGACAGAGACACAAAATCTATGATTATCTATGATGGACCTATATTTAAGAGATACAGTTGACTGGTTAAAACTAAACATCATAACCTAATGTTGGGATGCATCCTGAGTCTTTCATTTTCAACCAAAAACGTTTACCCCTTTCTCTCTCAATCGCACATTGTCTCCTCTCATGCATAGTGCATACACCAATTCCACTTTGCCGCCCCCATGCAAACCACACCTTGCCCTTCATCTCTAGTAACACCCTACATTTCTACACCACTTCTTCTTCTTCTTTCTTTCCACTCTTCCGCTCCTCATACTCTCATGGAGGAGCGGATCTCATCGCTGCCAACACCACCCCCACAACCTCCTTCTCAAGATTACACCGACAAGAGTCTTAGTACCGAATTACAATTATCCAACATCAATCCCGGCACCTACATTGTCCAGGTCCCCAAGGACCAAATCTACCGTGTTCCACCCCCAGAAAATGCTCGTATCGTCGAGCAATATCGCAATAGTCCTTCTAAGGGGAAAAAGAAGACACCTTGTTGGTGTTTCGTGTTCATCATTATTGTGTTGATTGCCATTGCCACCGTTATAGTAAGCCTTCTAGGTGGGCTTTTTTCCGTAGTACTTAAACCGAAGGACCCTAAGTTTTCCATCCAAGACTTGAATGTTTTGAATAGCACATCCCACCCCAAATACAACGTCACTTTACAAGTCCACAATCCAAATTCAAAAGTGGCCATTTCGTATAAAGAAGGAGGAGATGTTTCCCTATCCTTGAGGCGACAACAGATTGCTTTGGGATCCTACCCAACTTTCTATCAAACCCCTCAAAATTCAACAGCGTTTGGCGTTACTTTAAAAGGCTCAAAAGTCGGTTTCCCTAAGGAGGTGGAGGAAAGCATGACAAACGATAAAAACAAAGTGCATGTCACTTTCTCTTTAACTATTCACGTCCCTGCACGAATGAAAATGGGGCTGTTGCATAGTGGGATAGTGAAATTTGACGTTATGTGCCAAGTGACGTTGGATACATTGGCCAAAACCTCTCATATACTTTCTCAGCATTGCCAAACTAAACGACACTAATTCTTTCAGCTTAATAGCTCGTCGTCTTGACTTGAGACGTAGGTATTGTGAATTTTGAACGTTTTCTTCTTTCATAATGTTTTGATTCTAGCCGAACAAGCATGTTTGAGTGATATTAAAATGTTTGTAAATATACTATTTCTCCGGCAAATATTAGCTGCTTATAATTTCTCACGTGTATTTTTTTTTAATGTTTCGATCAAATTAGCTGTTGATAACTTATGGAGAGATATTATTTACTATGGATGAGTTATCCATTTAACATATCTTGTCTTACAAGTATAAAGCAAGTGACTCATATACTAACCCGTAGATATTTTACGTAGTATTTTATAACTGATATAGTCAAATCAATTGGCTAATTAATGTATAACAATTTTTGTGAAAAGAAGAAAAATATCACACAATCAACGGTGGAACCCAGTGGCAAAATAAAAAATAAGGAAGCATAATTGAAGTTTTTAACTTTCAAGTCATTCTATCACAAGCATTTAGGAGAACAGTTGTTGTCTATATATTATAAGAGAAACGATAACCCTTATTTTAAATGTATCTTTTCATATATCTGTTATGTATATTGATTTTTTTAAAAATAAAATTTAAAAATTATTAATTTGTGAGATAAATAATTTATTTTTTAAAAATTTAATAAATTACAAGAATACATTAAAAAAATATTACTAACATTTTTTATGTTAATAATTCTTGGTTGACCAAAGGGTTTCTCAACTAGGAACGAGACCTGATGTTGAAATTTCACTTGAAGTCAGTTTCTATCCTTTTCGCTATTTATTGTCTTTTTCAAAATCATATGCTGCTCCCAGCCTATTGATAATCAAACGAAATAGTAGATGGATCAACTTTTTAAGGCACTAAAACAAATTGTTTTCGGCATATGAATTCCTTTTATTATTTTATATTGGTCAAGAATAGAGTTAGAATATAAAAATGAGAATGATTCTAATTTGAAAAATAGAAAAATACAAATTTTAATCTTACAATTATACATTAATCCTTAAAATTTTAAAATAATTATAGTTATATGATAATTTAAAAATTCATGTATATATTTTTTTAATTTTAATTATTTAAACAAGATTCAAAATTAATATTCATTATTTTAATTTTTTATACTAATTAAGTATTTGACCGCGTGAGTAATTTCATTTCATTTAATGTCTAATACTTTCTATTATTATGATCAATATAAAAAATCTTTTGTCTTTTCAGACCACTACATTACCTTGAGTCATCCATTCAAATTAACTGAGAGGTAATTGAGCGGTTGTAATTACACATCAATCTTGTATATTTGAATAGACTAGAGAGATAAGAAGAGATCCGGAAGAATTATATGGGTTCTGATAATGAAGTGATATAATGGCAAATGATAAACAAATTATAAAAAATGTTATAAATATTATAATGATCCATTCAATTTAATTGGTATAATACTACGTTGCCCATAGATGTGACCATTTTGGCCACTGAACTTGCTCAATTAAATGTAAGAAACTATTGGTTTATATTTATATATATAACTCAACATATCGACTCCAAGTGCTGTGTAATCATCAATATTTCATTCCTCAACCCTGCTTCTTTCAGGAAAGGAGAAAAAATAAACATTTGAGTGCCGAATGAATTTAATAAGCATTTAATAAGGACGCTGTTTATACTGATTGATGCATAAAATAGGGTTCTCATATTTTTTGTTTAAATACCAACTTTACATCTAAAAAGAAAATGTTAAACTAAAAATTTTCAATAATGTAATAAGTATTCTTACAAAAGTTATAAATAAATGGTAACATTAACTAATATTATTTAATTAAAATTTTAGTAGCATTACTATAAAACATAATATTATTATATTCAATTAAAATTTTTAAAGTATTACTATAAAACATAAAATTCAGTTTCAGATTAAATAACCTAACCATATTATTTATTACATATATTACTTTTCTCTTTTCCACTCCTTTACTCACAATGTACTCCCCCCACCAACTCTTTATCTTTCTCATTGTATATATGCTCGTGCACTAGCCTGCTAGAAGCCAATATATTTGCATCCTTCATACGAGAAGTAATGCGATTGGTCCCATAATGTATCAAACAAAATTGTACATTTTTTTTGAAGTCTGGGGGAATGTATCTGACAATATAAAAGTACGTACCTGTCACATTTTGTCAAGTCGAAACCTGCATAATTGATGCTTTAAAGTGTTGGCGTACCTGGTCAAAAAAAAAAAAGAAAAAAAAAAGAAAGAAAAGAAAAGAAAAGTGTTGAAGTACTTACCTGGTGCTCCAATTATTTTATCCTTTCCTTGTGAACTGGACAATTTTGTGTTTACTTTGATTTTTTTTGTTATGTTTGCAATTGATGTCTGTAGATTCAATATACTAAATCAACGAAAACCATTCAACTCTCCTTAAGGTATCAAGTACGTGCTTATTAAAAATATATCAAGACTTTTTTTATTATTGAAAGTTCAATTTATGGCTCATTCTTTTTTATATGTTAAAGTTTTGATTTTGAATTTGTTCTCAACTTTTTTTCTTTATAGATAAAATGTAATTATCTGTTTCAATTAGTTTACTTTTGATGAAACATTTGTGTTTTAAAAATTTTAAGTGAACTTTTAAAACGATTTGAAGTTTTCGTGAAATTAATGACCTCAATTTTATAACGATATAGTTTAATTACTTTGATGATTTTCTTGTACAAAATCCTAGTTTAAATGAGTTCCAGATTGTTTAAATGAGGATAGTTAATTTAACGACTGGTGTAAGGAGATGTAGTTGCCCCCTTCCATTTTGTGAAATGTGAGTGAATGTTAGTTTTGCATATGATAAAAGGACTCTAATGTTTTTCAGATTATTTCTTATATTTCATGTTTACATTATTGGGCTCTCACAAATTAATCCTGCGAAGAATTTTTCATAATGTATAGATAAAAGATGTTTAAACTAGAAATGAGACAGAAAAAATTAAACTGTATCATTTTAGGCAAACCATATTTGTTCTCTAATCCCAACAACATTGATAAAGTGCAAAAAACTCGATATTCAGTTTCTTAAGTCCATATGCGTGAAAAGGAGAAACAAAAAATTAGAATAGTTGACACATATCGAAACTCTTCCTTCTTAAGAACTGAGTGGTGTACATTGGTGTTATATATGGTGTTAAGTACCACTCATTAAAAGTTGCAGCTTCTGGGTAAGGAAAGGTAACATGCCAGCCCATATAGGCATTTTCTTTGGCATTGTTTAGTCACCAAAGTAAGGTGCTTGCTCGTTATGGTTACATCTGTCCCATTTGAAGAGCTGGCTTGATGCATATAGTAGCCGAAAGCTAGGCTATAAAGCTTAGCTATTTGTTTTGTTTTGTTTTTTTTTTTGTGTATAATCAATTTCTGGTACTTGTCCTTCTAATCAATCGTGAATGAAGGGTTAGATACCAGCAATAATCCTTTTATGCAAACTCAAAATACCCACTATTTTGCTCCCTGCAACAGCGGCAAGGGGTCTTATACTTATCCAATTATTAATTCCCAGATGGTGCTAACAAACAACTTACCATTAATCGACATCGTACGAAGTTTCTTATATTTTGGCGCATTGGATACATGCAATAATGAACAACCTATGTATGCTCGACCCTCAATGCGGGGACCAATTGAAGTCCTTCGGCTGAGACACGCCTATGACTGGGAAGATCCATTATTGAGAATCTCTTTGGAAAAATAAAGCATTGCAGAGAACCACATGACTGGTAGCTAGTTAGTTTAATTTTTAAATGGAAATAATAGCACTTGACTAATATTTAATTAAACAATAACCATATAATGGTTGAGGATGTGAGAATATTTTATGGTGGTACTGGGAACTGAAAACGTTTTAAATAAATATCCAAATCAGATGGGTTTGGTCTGTCAACTTGTGAACGCCGAGTGTATTCTAGTTACTAAACTAACTAGGATATTTTTTTGAGTTTCATTATTTGAAATATTAAAGAATTGTCATTGTATGAACTACTGTTATATATAATAATAAAAATGTTAACTTTGAGGATGGTTGATTTTTTATATAATTAGAAGTGACAATTTTTATTATATTAAAAAATGTACTATTTTTAAATTATATACTATTTTATATTTCTCTCTTTTATTATTTTTATACACACATATAAAAATATATTTTTAAATTAAAAAAGACAACTTTTTATTGTCCCATTTTTGTATTTAAAAATATTTTCCTTCTTCATTCCCAAGTGTGGTTTATTGGGAGCATAAAGCTTGTAACCTATTACGAAAAGGCATGTAAATCTTAAATTGCCTCGATATAACCCATAATAGGAAATGAAATATGTAACCTGCAGGCTTTATATTTTTATCACTTACAACTAATGGATAATACTTAACATGAATGAAAGCTGTTGGACTTTAGCATAATCAAAGTGAGATGAGGCCTGAGGGGTTCAGATGGGTGTGTTGGGGAGTGCCCGTTTTCTACCAATAATTGGAGCTTCTAAGACTTTGTTTATTTCAGTTTAAGGCACCGACGATGAAACTGAATCTAGTGGCAACCTATCTTTACACGTATGAAAATGAAGGCATGGGTTCTAAGGCTTGGAAGCATGTTTGGTGTCCCCATTAAGCATCCCAATGTCTTCTGCAAATCAAGCACTTTGAGTGGATTCCAACTCTTCTTCAACCATTTATAAGATTCATAATGTAGTGGGTTTCCCTTTCACACACCTAACCCTTTGAAAATAACCCATAAACTAAATATCAGATCTCTTCCATTTTATAAAATATTACTATTTTGAGATTCCACTTGGATAATATTTGATTGAGGTGGGCTCTGTCAAATCTAGGTGCCCAATGGTTTAGTACACCATCTCTTTGTGAGCATTTAAAGGCTCTGTTTCGGTTAAATATCCTAATTAAACAAGTTGAGGGACTTGAGGCTTTCAATTGTTAAGAGTAAGGAATGTTGGGAATTAGAGTCAATATCTGTCCTCTGCCGCAATAAGTGCTTCTCTTAATTAGTTTATTATCCCAGATCTTCGCTTTATAGCTTTAGGAACTGTCCTAATTATATAATCAAGATCATAATTAATAAATTATGCGCTGATTTAGAGTTTCTGGCTCCCTGTGATGGTGCCAGCCGCTCCAACTCTTAATCCCATTAAATTAAGCTTATTAAATTTAACCCTTGGGCTTATGTCTCTTTCTATCTCTTTGTGTGGCAAAGGGACGATGATAAATGCCTAGTATACAATTTGGGAGGTACATGAATGACCTTGTTTACCTAGTGATAATTTGAGCCTAATATTGTCACATGTATAGCTTGTTCAATTTTATTTTCCTATATTTATTTGGTAACTACGTGACTAAGTTCACAGCACCTTGACCATGTGGTGGAATGGGGTTTGTGGGTAATAATGGAAGTGTCCTTGAGAGCTTTATGATTCAATGATGGATATAGCGTAGTGTTAATTCTTTGACATGTTTGTTGTCTTATTAGCTAGTTTAGTGATGCGATGCATAATTCGGGACAGGAAATAGTAGGCAATAAAAACAGAAACATGGGTAATCGATAATCAAAATACAAAGGAGGACCCATCACGGTAACAGCTTGTCATAGTATCTATGCTTCCATCCAAGGTTTGAATTTAAACCCTTTGAACAATTATTACTTTGTGATTGAGAAAGACACGCAAGCCAAAGTATGATTTACAAAGCTTTCTGTGTGGAGCTAGAACTCATCCAATGTGCATTTATTTGTCTCACTTGGATTTTATTTCATTTTATTTATTTTTTGCTGCTCACACTTGCATCTATCATCAAACTATCTAACTTTACAACACGACTCCTGATGATAAGGACTTGCGTGTGTAAATTAGATAGCATTGCCGAATAGATAAAACGGAATAAAATTTATGTACTAATCCTTTTTAATTAAATTAGAATGTACTGTTTTTTTATGTCGTTATATTTTTAAAACACACAAAAATAAAAAATAAAGCATGTTCTATTTCTTCCTTTTAAACTCGTATATCAAAAGCTACTTTAAACTACACGATTAATGAAAATAGGACAGTTAAATGAAATTAAAGAATGTCATGTTTCATATGCAATATAATGTATCTTGATGGAATGTGTTTTTATTTCATTCTATTATAAAATATTCAAATAAAAAATGGTAATTTCATTTTATTCTATTTTACTATAATATTTTATTTTCTTCATTACTAAATAATCAAAACTAGCGTTGAAAAACTTCCATTTGCTAGTGAAATTAAATAAATCAATTTTTAAAAAATAAAAAAAACTTGTAAATTTTTTAAAAAATAACTATGATATTTTTAATTTAAGTAAAGATATATTGTGAGAAATATTTGTTTCCTAGACAAAATAATTAAAAGTTAACAGCTGTCATCCAGACATGCATCAGTACAATCTCAACGCGAGTGCAGTGCTCAAGCAGTAGTACACAATGTCACATTGGTGACAATCAGTACATAGAATTTTTTTAAGCAAAAGATGTACTAAGTATCATGTCATGTGTGCAAATGATAAGAATTTGAGAAATGAGAAATGAGGAAAGAGTTCATTTAACTATTTTCTTTATGTTTCTTTTCTTTTTCCAATATATATATATATATATATATATATAAATTAAAAATATATGTAATTTCTTTTATTTATGTTAGTTTTTTAAAAACTTTTTAATACAGTTTTTATTATTTTTTAAAATTTTATGATAAGCGTGTAAAATTTTTCAAAATAAATAATAATACTGATAGAGATCAAAATACAGTAATGAATATAATTTAAGATGTGTACATAAATAGATAAATAAAAGTAAATTAAATTTTCAAAAATATATATGCAAATAAAAAACAAAATAAATATTTAATTTTATGTGGATGATTAAAACTATATTTTAAAAAATATAATAGAACAATGTTCTCATGTTCTCATTTAACACATGATTTTTTAAATTTATTTATCTATCTTTTTTCTCTCGCTAGAACCTTAGTCATGTGGTTTAATTTTTATTTTAATTAATGAATTAATATTAATATTAATATTTTTTTTATATTCTCATAAAATAATCTTGACAAGTATTATATTTGACCTCTACAATGTATAAAGATTATGAAAATATACAAGAGTATTTTTAAAGAAACAATAATAAAATTAAAAATATTTATTGTATTATAAAAATAATTTAGTACTTATATTTTAAACAGTTAAAATTATTTTATTTAAATATATTTTTTCATTTTATTTTCCTATTTATGAACATAATATAATTAAGAATAATATAATTAAGAAGTGCAATTAATAATTTCAACTTATTAATGAGTGTCTTAATAGTAATAATTAATAAATTGATATTTTCTTACCAAAAATTATGATAAAAGTGTATCGGAAGTCACGTTGAGTATATAATGAAAAATTTTTCTTTTATAATTTTTAATTGTTAACTTATACTTTAGGAATACTTGTTAACGATATTCTAACATTATTTTTTTTAATAATATCTGCCATTCGTTTTATGAAAATTGTATAATTTATTTTAAAAAAACTAGATATAAATATGCATACAATTAAACTAATAATAATTAAAGTTTTTTAAAATTAAAAAATCGAAGAAATAAGCTGGAAGAAAATTATACTCTAAAAGTTATTACTAATAATATTTTAACAAAAAATTATTAATTTTAATTACTTAAAATTAAATTTAAAATTTATTCATGATAAAATTTTTATTTTTTTTAATCAATACTCTGAAAGCATATTAACATTTGGCAAGATTCTTACAAATCAATCTTATAATATAAATTTAAATAATATGAATTAATTAAGTATTGAACCATAAAAAATTGTAATTATTTTTATTTGAGCCTTTATTTTTATTTTTTTTAAATTATTCGGTAATAATTCTTTTATCATATGGTTAATTTATTTACTTTTATTAATATTTGATTCATTTAAATTAATATTATAATTTTTTATTTAATCTCTTTAAATATCATGCTTTCTCATGATATTTTTAATAAATATCATGTTAAAATATATAAAAAATTCACATAAGTTTTACCAAATAAAATGTTCACATAAGTGAATGTATTCTTTAGCCAATATCTACAATATGTGTTCAAAGGTTATATTAAATAAATAAATAATAATAATTTTTTTATTAAAAGATATAACATTTAATGTTATTTATACATTAAATTCTGTAATATTCTAACATTCACAAATTTTTTTATCGTGGGTTCCTGATTACACTTCAAAGAAATCGTAAATTTAAACGTAACTACTAATATTTTTATTTTTTATTTTTAATTCTTTAATAAATTCTCTTAACAGTTCCATTGATAAAAGGTAAAAAACCGAAAGATTAATGTCTCTGATCGTGGAAACGAGGGTAAACGACACCAAATTCAAGATTTCACATTGTTTTTGTATCTTCGGCTTTCTTTAGCCTTCACTTATTGGATGCCAAATTGAAGAAACCGGAGTTCCCGAGAACACTGCTATCCATAACTTACTTGAATTTTCAATATGCAAAATTTTAGTTTCGCATTTTGTTTTTGTGTAAAATAGTTGGAGAAAAGTGAAAAATAAAAAGAAAAAAAAATGTAATTAGTGATATATATGATCAAAATAAATAAATATAAAATAAAGTAAACACTATAAAATTATAAAAGTTCTTTCAATAAATGGCATATGTAGTGGGTCAGACTCTCATGCCCACAAACTTGTAGTTTTGCCAAAATCGAGGTCAAAATATTATAACAATCACTGTAACCATAATATTGTAAACAATTTTTTTTTTTTGCTAATAAACAATTTTTTTATAAAGAATGTCAACTCCTGTATATAAAATCGATTTATATAAATATTAGTTTTTGATTTAAAATATTTAATATATTACTAATATAAAGTATAATAAATATTATTTTTTAATAAAATTTTACCATTTTATATATTTAAAATTAGTCTTAAATTTGATGTAATAACACTACTTTTATTCATTTACTTAAAAGACATTTTATTTATCTTATTTTTAAAATAATACTATGATCTTTCCGATTACGTTATTATTTTACGTCATTCATAATAAACAGATAAAAAGGATAGAAGATAACATAAGAAATGTTTATTTTAACATGTGTTCAAGCACCTAATAAAACATTATTTAATAATATTTTTGTTAAAAATTATAGTATTTAATATTATAAATATATCAAATTATATAATATCTTATATTTCTTAATTAAAAAATATTATAGATAAATTTTTAGTATCTTTTCTTAGCTATACGTTAGAAAGCAATATAAGAAATTATTGAGGTTCGTGTGGTAAGCCGTATTACCATTACTGCATTGCTTAAAATTTCAATTCGCGGTCTCTCTTTCTTAATTGAATTTAGTTTATATCAGGTACGATTGAAAACATGATTGGAAAGTACTACTGTACTTGATAAACATTTAGATTGACGAACACACCTCTTTCATGCTAAAAGGCTACCTTATTAAATGCAGCAATGAAAACGGCTTTGTTGAGGTATCTTTACTCAGATGGTTGCAAATCGTCAAAACAAAACAACAAATGGAATAATTATTAATACAAAACGTTATGAGAAACTTCTTATATATGTGGATGATTACTGTATTAATTAAAATTCCTAAACTAACTCATTTTTGCATTTCAGAATGTCTAAATCAGCTTTTCAAGTTGCAGTTCGTAATTATCTTTTTCAGTATATATTGGCCACATGTACGATAAGTACAATTCATAGCAACAAAGTTGACGGGCCATTTGCAACTGCGGCATAAAACATCTGCCTTTCACTATCCGCATGCGCATGCAAACGTGTGTAGGAATCTATCTGTTCGGACTTTGTCCATAAAAATTTAGATCATGGAATAATGCTATTTTCCATTTTCAACATCAAAGCAATACAATTCGATCCACCCCTTCACCATTAATTCTTGGGTGGTGTCAATTCCTTCAACTGATCATCTACAATCTACAACTCTATGCACTTTTTGGACTTACACTACTCGATCTTTTCCACTCCACCAAACGCCGCAAGAATTGCTCGACCTGTGAGTATGCATAAGGATATTGTTATTTATTTCCCAGATTCACCATTCGTATTAAAGTAAAGATACAAAAGATTTATGCTTGAATTTAACTCATGTTGGATGAGATATATGGACTTGCCTCTGATGGATCTTGCAAGGTGTAGGAAGCATCTGTTTCTTTTGGAACTCTAGAAACGAGAATCCCAATTCCTTGACCCCTACTGCGCAAAACCTGATGATTATATTATATCCATAATATGTTAATTAACAAGTCAGTTAACTAAAAATTAAAATATGATAATGAAATATAGCTAGAATAGCAATATGCTTTTAACTAGCTAGCTAGGTGGCGGCATTGTTACCTTAAAAGCATCCTCATCAGTTCGATCATCACCGATATAGATTGGGAATACGTCATTAGAATTCTCGTATCCTAAAAATATGCAAATAATATTATAGTGAATAAAGACATAAATAAATAAGACTTATAATATAGGTCTCAAAGCAAGGGTATATTGCATGAACATATATACTCACCTAACGATTTTAACAAAAATTCAAGAGCCTTGCCCTTGTCCCATTTGATTGTTGGACGGATCTCAAGCACTTTTCTCCCTTGGGTTAGCCTAAGTTGTGGGTATTCATTGAGCACCAATCTAACTTTCTCCGCCAACGTTGCCCAGCTCTAAGAAAAACAGAGGTGGTAAAAATGGTTATTTAAAATGGTGTTACCCAACAATGAATGTGTGTTTGGCGTGTGCGTGTGGGTTTGGAAATTCTACTAATTCAGCAATTATATATAGTATGTTGACCGGTACCTTTTCGTCAACACAACGGAAGTGCACGGACAAGCAAAACTTATTGTTCTCAACCGTAGCCCCTGGGACAGACTTTGTTTTTTCTAGCAAGATCTTGTACACCTGAAAATTTTATTTTTGATAACGTGTCACGCGGTTAACATCTTATGTGTTGTCAAATGCCAATTTGGTGGCCATAGAAATTTGCATAAGGGAGAAAAAAAACGAACCTCGTCGATCATGGGCAGGAATTGACTCGCAGGTTGAAACAGCACTGCTTTATTATTACCCTGAAACAAAGTAACAAATCACAAACTAAGCACAAAGAACATAAAGATAGAATCTTCAAGACACTAATTTGTTTCAAAAACTCTCTCACTTTCTTTGGGCTTTGGCTTTTTGTTGGTCCAGTGATGTCCATGCCATGGCTTCCAGCATAGTACAGTTCTGCCAATTTTACAAAGCTATACACCTAAAAAAAATCCGAAAGGACCCAAATTAATTATCAAATTTATAATAATAAACAATATCTTCCAAGTCATTTTTATATTTCTTTTGCTTTGAAGAAAATGTACCTTGTCTCTGCACCTTCCCGTCACGATGGCTGTGGGAAAATGTCTTGCTATGCCCTTTAGCGTGGCTCTCATCTAATTTGAGAAAACAAAGACTCAAATTAATCACAAACATAACCTTTATTATATAGATACGTACGAATGAAACGCGAGGGAACAAAAGGAAAACCTTTCTAGACATGAAAGCTTTTTCTGGATCTGAAACAATAGGGGAGAGAGTTCCATCGTAGTCAAGAAAAACCACAATCTGCTTTCCTTTGGAATTGCATATTATCTGATCAAACACGTTCAGCGCTGAAGGATGATAAAGCTGAAAACAGTATTGCCAAATAGAAGTTCAAGTCAGCATAAGTAACCAATAACCATTGATATCTATATATGTGTGTGTGTGTGTGTTCCTAGATGTTGTGCTTACAATCCAAGATCGTTTTTCTTGGTTTTCTGATTTTACACGAGTTGGGGAAGAAGCTCTCATTGAATCAATCCAAGCACTAACTTTAGCTCCTTCCAACCTTCTCATAAGATTCTTATGGGGCAAGCTCCAAAACCCACCAAGCACAGCCAGGGAATCGGGCACTGTCAGCATAAGCGTGTTAATAACATCAGGAGCCACCACATTTTGGTTCGTCATGTTATCTTCCCTTTAAAGTTCAAACCCTTTTGATACTTAATTACTTGAAACTTGTGGGTAAAAGTAATGAATAATCTGAGGAAATTGTGGAAGCAGGGTAATGGAAATAAAGGGGTATTAAGGAGTGGAGAAGAGATGGTGTCTATGGTACGTGGCTTGTTACTCAGCTGAATAAGGGGCTTTTATAGGAAGAAAAAAGTTGCGGGAGAAAAAAAATTTGTTTGGACTTCACCGGGTGGCTTTGGCTAGCTCGAGTGACAAACGAGCGAGGTGTGTCTGGTCAATTTATAAACTTGGGCTTCACTGCACAAAACGACGAAACAACCACTTCTCTTCCCTGCTTCTTGTACTTTTCAGCAACCATATACTAAATATATGCAAATGGAGGGGCCACCATGATCCCACAGCTACCTCCTTTTTATTTTCTTTTGCTCCAGTAAATAAAAGTATACATAATAATTTGGAACCTTCACTGCAAAGATCATGTTGTTTCGTTACATTTACCACTTATTTCCTTCCTTTATCCTATCCCGGTTAAAAAGGACGTCTCGTTTCTAAAAGACGCTCATAATTGTTTCAAAAAAGTTACTTGTATAGTATATCCTCAGCATTTTGTATAAAGAAAATGTTCAAGTACATTTTTAAGTATTTTCAGTGTTATTTTTTGAATTAACATTTGAATTTTGTTTAAATAATTTATGAAATGTTTAATGTTTAATTTTTTTATTCAAATAAATTTTATTCTTAATTAAAAATAACATAAAATATTTGAGGAATGTACATAAGTTTTGCCTTTTCTATAGATAATTTTATAAGGGATGGTATTAAAATTAAAAAAAGGACAAGGTTTAGATCTTTTTCTGACTTTGGATAAAATTTAACATTTTGATTGGAAAATTTTGAGTAAAAATTTTAAAAACAGTTATTTGTTTCCATTTGTGAAAAAATTGAATAAAATAAAAAAAAAAGGTCAACAACATCATCAAATTTTGAAAAATTTTAAAATATAGAAACATAATTGATTAAAACAATAAAAATCACAATTGCACACGATAAAAATAAAGAGGTTAAAAAATACAACTAAATCAATTTTAAATTAACAATACAAAAATCAGGGTTTTTAGTTTATATAAACAAAACTTAAGTGTCACTCTAGATTGTTTGCAGTAGTATTTTTTAATTAAAATTTTGTTTCAATAGCCTGAGTCAATTTTCAACGTGATCTTCTATTATTTATATTACTAAAATAAAATTTTCATTTTAATAAAAAAAAAGATGACCATAAATATTCAAAATATTGTACATAAATTGTCATCTTTTAATTTTGACCGGAAGAGTAATTTAATGGTGAGCACGAAGCGAATTTTACGTTGTAAAATAGCAGTCTTAGTGAACTAACATGAGGAGATGGGGAGGAGTTAGGACCACATATAATTTACTCCACTCAAATAATTTTTATTGTCTTGAGCTTCGTGAGGTTAGAATTGCCAGCTAATATAAATGAATCTTGCTAGCCATAACATGCATATTGACAAAGGTTTCTCTCAGATGGTTCAACCAAAAACACACACAAAAAGCCTCAGATGGTATTATAATTTGCTTTTATAGTTATATTTTTTACATTGCAGCAATATTGATTCTGAGGGAAAATATGAACTTAGCTAAAGTAAAACATCATATCAGTTGCAAAATTGAGAGAGAAACCATGTTGGAAATCAATATACATAATGGCTTACTATTTTGCTTGTGCAATCTCTACCAAAGACTTAGAAGATCAATTTCATTTTTTTTAGTTTGCCTTCCAAAAAAATAAAAAAACAAGGCAAGTGATCATGCTTGACTTACGTTTAGAAGCCTCTTCATCTTCTTTTCATTGATCTCACAAAGGAGACCTTTCTATCTCTCATATGTAGGTATTCAAACTTCTCCAGATTCTTTACTTTTTACTATCTTGTCAATTATATTCCTAATTTCAATTTTGCTTGAGTACCATATTATGTGCCATTACAATTTGGAATTAATATAGGTACCAAAAAGAATATATTATTGGCACGAGCTATCAACCAGTGATAGATGAACCACTTCATCGCCCCTTGTATAGTTTCACTTGAACAAAAACAAGCAGCACCTACCTAACTTGCTAAATGTAGCAAACTTCAAAACAAGGGGCATTAACACTTTTTTTTCTTTATTTCCTTTATTTATTATATTTAATTCCGTTTCTCGTCTTCCATCAATTACGTTAATGATAGCTAGTATGCATGTGTATAGGCCATTCAGCATTTAGTTCATGCGTATTCCTTGTCATTGTTAATCAATTATCTGTAATATATCTTCAATTTGATTTTGTCAACCCCTAATAGTAGCGATTGGCTTCACAATCATAGGTATATAAAATATCAACCATTTGATTGTAAAGACTAAGGGGTATGATTTTGATAAGTTAATGTCCAGAGTTGCAATCATTATTTTAACAATATTGAGAGAATTATGCTAGCAACTTCAATCATTGTTATATAAGTACATATATATATATATATATATATATATATATATATTTAACTTATGCAACATTAACGTCTGATTTCCTAATTAACATTGTAATCTTGCATATTTCCCTCAAAATCGCACTATTCGTTATAAATGAGCCAATTTCACAGTTAATTTGAGAAAATGCCATTTGTAAAGAAAATCATTTTGTATTACTAATGACATGTAAAATTTTAAAATATGACTTTCTCATTTTATACTAATTAAAAGTAATAGTGTTGCATAAATTTATTATATTTATAAGAGTTCGATAAATTAATGTTGAACTTATAATTAAAACAATATAACTTTCTCGTTTACTTGCCATACATTTTATTCAAACAGCACTTTTTTCCCTCAGGAAAATGGAAAATCCGAGATCTTGTCCGGATTGCTTAATACATCTGAATAACTGTCTCAGAAGCATTAGTATGTTTTTTTATTACTCTTTATTATTGTATCAAAACTTATTAAATCATGCCAGTTTCAATTTCTCTAAGAACGATCGACACAACACTCAATAATTAAAAGTTAATTAAGCAAATTGAATAAAAATGTTATTAATCTATCCATTAATTTGTTGAAAATTCAAAAAGGTTTGCATGGCTCCAGTAAAATATATTCAAAAGCTATGTAATTTTCTTCTAGCGCTTTCTTGTTCTTTCCATATATCTACAAGTTCGTAGCCCCACCTACAGTCAAAACCGGTGGCTATGGAGATTCTTCCAGGTAAACTTCCATGTCAAAACGAGGCTAGTGAATTTCCAAATTCAAACTTTGATTTTGTTCATATTTTTTTCACAGATGATTATATGTATAGTTGATATCAGTGAATCCTGATTCATTATTGATTATTCATATTCCTCTTTCTAGAACTGGTTTTTATGTATTTCCTATTGCATTAAGTCATGAGGGAACATAATAGGTTAGCATTGCATATGAAAACAAAATTTAAGTGGACCAAACTGCCATAACTGCGGTGGACTTTGGAGGCTCTTTTGAATCATATGTTTGTCGCTGTTATTAAAGAATAAGAAAAAAAGTCAAATAATCTGACTAAGCAAAGTTTCAATGTTGCTTCCAACGGAAACCAAAGATAGAAATTTAATAGCAAAAGGTCCCAAAACGACAAAGGAATTTTAGCAACTAGGATGCTTTTCCTGACTGCTTTTCCTATGTGTAAATTTTACAGCTGTTCCTCCTCACAGTTTTCTTTTGGAAAGTTTTTGTGAGAATACTAAATTGACATAACAAAATATCGTTCATATATATAAGATGAAAAGGTTAATTTTTAAATATTTAAATAATGAAATTATTTTCTTATATATTTATATATCTATTTTTGTAAAAGGAAAACGATGCTCTTGATCTGATTGCTAAAAAGTTGTTATTTATTAATAGTTAAGCATTAATATAATTTTTAGAAAAACATATTAACAATTAATTTTGTTAACACAAAATATTAATATATATTAATGCATTAACTCTTAATATTTTAATGTAAATTTTAAAAATTTATATTAAGAAGTTTGTTTATTAAATAAAATTATATTAAAAATATACTAATATTTAATGATTTAATTTATTAATAAATGACATTTTGTACACTGGATTGATTCGTGTGGGACTTGTAAGAGAATAGATAGCAGTTATATGGCCACATGTATCCTTGGTGTCCACGATACAATTTTTTCAGTTCTGATTCCATTGGGTGGGAACTAGGAATGAGGATCTTTTACTTTACCTTAACACACCGTATCTTCTGTCTTTTGTTTTGGTGGTACAATTATGTCTTATTATTACCCATGGGATGTCAAGGTATATTAAATTCATTATGAGTAATATTTTTTCAAAAGATGAATGTATAAATAAGGGATATTATTTAGTATTGTTAAACATTGTTAAAATGGTTAATAATAAATTATTCAAGTGTATACTAAAAGTCCATTAAAATAATAATAAATTAATAAATGTTTTAATACAAAACATTTTAATTATTTATTAATATTCTTAAAATACTTATTAACATTTATTTAAAATAATACGGACTCATGGAATAACACAGTAAATAATAGAGAATATGAAAGAGTCCTTTTAAGGCTGGGTTAGCCACTTGACAACTTGTCAAATGGCATCTTAATTATATCCTTCTTTTGCTATATTTTTTTTATACTAACCCTTCAATTATTTTAACAAGATAAGTTAGGAGGTTACCTTTTTTATAGTAATTATTGTATAACACAAGTATATATATATATATATATATATATATATATATATATATATATATATATAATCATTTGACATGTGATAGTGGAGCCCATTGTGTGTATGTATATCAAATAAAAAAATAAAAGCCCAACTACATGTTTTTAATTTATTTATTTTCGACAGAAACCAAATTTATATTTTCTATCATAAAATAATAATAATAATAATAATAATAAATATATACCCTAACTCAAAACAAA